TTAGATAAGTTATAGTAAATAAGACCTTATCTACTTTATTAATAAGTTTCTCTTAGTTTATCTAGATATATATATCTAACTATATAAGAAATACTTATAACTTAGATTAACTTCTATTAAATAGTTCTAGTAATCTAATCTTAATAGACTTAGCTATAAGTCAACCTTCTAATTAATAGATATACTTCTAGAGCTATTTAATCTAGTCTCTTAGATCTTCTACTATAATTTAAGACTATATAGCTACTTACTACTATACTCTAGCCCTTCTAATATTTAAGCTAGTTAGGGTTTATGGTGCATTTCCTACTATAATATTTAATATTAAGAGTTAATTAAACTTCCTAAAGTAATTTATACTATATAGTATTTAATTTATTATACCCTAGGATCTATCTCTGCTATTCTCTACTAATTAATAACTTTAGGAATAGAGTGATATAGTCCCTAGACTATATCTAATACTTACTTAAGGCCTACCCTCTATAGTAGCCTACTATATACTAACCTAGGTATATAGTAATACATGATATAATAATCTAACTAGGATCTAATATAATCTAAAGGTATAATAATCTTATCTAAAATTAAGGATAATAAGAATAATAATAATAGAGATAGAAGTAAGGCCTATTAAGGATATATTCTTAATAATAAGAGAGTAACTAATAAATTAGACTAGTAAACTTATATTTAAGTAAGTTATCTTTATTAAATATAAAGAACTAAACTAAAATCTTTAGATATAATAATAATAAGTATCCTTATATAATTCCTTCTTTACCTACTATTCTTACTACTATAATAGGGTAGTCATAATGGTAGTTATATACTATCTACTATTACTAAGATTAGGTATATAGTAGCTAGTTATATAAGAGTTATAGCTAAATTAGGTATTATTATAATATAACTTATCTTTTATAAGACCTTAGTGGCTAAGGATTGGTTGGTTATCATTATCCTTCTGATTCTGCCCCTAACATCCGCCTGGCGGTGTTAGTGTTGTAACACTACCTTAATACTTAAAGAAATAATACTTACCTTCTATACTATTAATAATAATAATAATAGAGTCCTTACCCCTACTAATAATAATGATTTAATTAATAATAATGGCATCCTTACCTCTTAATTAATTAAATAAGATATTAAAGATATATAGATAGTAATTATTACTATTAATCTAGCTCTGTGCCTACACACTAGCACTAGTAATTAGATAATTAACTCTAGAGCTACTAAATACTTTATTATAATGCCTGTGAACTTTATAGATAGCTTAAGGAAGCTATATAAATAGGGAATTAAGATAGTAATAGGGTAAATTATATATTCTAACTTAATTAGGGATATCATCTTATATCTTATATATCTAGATAGATATACTAGATATATTATTATCACTGATATTCTCTACATCCCTGAGGTGGCCATCAACCTTTTAGGCACTATTAGATTAGGCTATAAGGGTCTGGGAGTTAATCTTCTACTAGATAGTATTATTATTACTTACCTATTAGATAAAATAATTATTAGATATAGAGATATATTTTCTAGAATACCTATATTCTTTACCTTATAGGAAGTAATGCTGTAATTAAGGCTGATAAGCTAGTTAAATTAACTAAGCTAGATATACTATTTAAGATATAGCTAATAGTATTCCCTTACTACTCTAAGAGAGATAATAATAAACTATTCTCTTAGTAAGATTATATGCTGCAAGAAGATTGCAAGTAAGCTAAGTAAGAATTAGTAAAATCTTATTCTAATATTAAAACTTATATCTAGACTAGATAAGAGGTCCTGAGTAAGTAATATATACTTATTTTAGATCTACTATATAATAATTATACTAGTGTTTACATATTAAAGAAAGATAAGATTAATTTAATAACTTAGCACTATTATTTTATGTATTTATTAATTCCTAATATCATCTATGTATCTAAAATAGTTAATAGAATAGATATTAAGGGACTATTAATTCCTAAGTATGCCTATAAATCTTATATAGTAGCTAATATAATAGTCTATAAGAGGCATATTACTATATCTCTTATTAAGTAATATAGGGAGTATATCTTTATTAATATTAGTAGTAGCTATAATAATATACTAGATAACTATATTACCAGAGCTTACTACTAGATAATTATTATAGATTAATTTAATAGCTAGGTTACTATCTAATTACTTAAATATAAGTACTAAGTAATGCTACTTATTAAGCTCTTTATTAAAGAAGAAGAGCATGTAGGTATTAAGGTATAAATTATTTATACTAATAATAAAGAAGAATTTATTAAGAAAGAGAATTAAGTATAGACTAGAGCTAAATCTATTAAATAAGAACTTATAGTACTATATATTTATAGTTAGAACCCTATTATAGAATATTTTATATATATAATATTAATAAAAGTTTATACTATTATTAATAATAAAACCATTCCATGCAAACTCTGGGGTGAAATTATAAAGGGAGTTATTCTAATTAAGAATATCTTATCTATTTAAGGTAAGAATATAACTCTATATAAAATATACTTTAGTAAATATCTAGATATTAGCTCTCTGTGAATCTTAGGTTTAATTAGATATCTTACTATTACTAATAAAATTAAATCTAAGTAGGGTGTTATAAAGATTAATCTATATACTATTTACTACTATTTAGTTAGCTATACTAGCCTAGGTAAGTAATATATTATTTAGATACTAGTAACTAATAAAGTTAAATATATCTATAATATTATTTTTAAAGAAGGAAGTGATCTAGATCTCTATAGAGATCTAGATAATAATTATAGAAAATTTATTAATCTATTAGCTATTCCATCTACTGACTATAATCTAAATAAGGTTATTAGTAATAATAATTTAGATTAAGATATTATTAAAGGCTAGGATCTAGCTATACCTAATCTACCTAGACTAGAGGATAGCATCCCTATACTATAAATATATATAGAGGTAGGTCCTAGTATTACTAAGGATACTAACTTCCTATATAGAGGCCTCTTTAGTAAGCTAGTTAAGGACCTTCTAGAATACTCTTAGCTAGAAGTAATTTAGCTTATAGAATAGGGGGTGTAGTATATTAATACTAAAGCTATAGAAAAGTATATATAGAATTATATTATTACTAGGTATATATATATTAATAATAATTATATTAATATTATTAAGTCTTCTTTCTTCTAAGAGGTAATTAACTCTCCTAAAGTAGATGATTAGTAGAATACTATAAAAGTTAAAGTAGATAATCTTATTAAGTAAGATAGCTAGGTACTTAAGGCCCTATCTTCTAGCTATAAGGCTATTAAGGGGTGTTAAGTCTATAAGATTAAGATTAATACTAATAATAAGATTATCTAATTTAAGGTAAGATAGGTTGCTAAAGGCTATATCTAGATACCTAGAGTAGACTTTAACTAAATATTTTTACTTACTATAAAGCTAGCTACTATCCACCTATTCTTTATACTTATAGTTATCTTAGGCTATTATTATATTAAGGCAGATATTAAGCTTGTATTTCTATAGGGTAAATTTTTTAATAGTAAAGTTATCTATATAAAATAGCTATAAGGTTTTAATAATAAGTCTAGCTATATATATTAACTATTACTTTCTTTATATAGATTAAAGTAATTTATATAGGCCTAGTATTTAGTATTCTATAGTAGTATTACTAAGATTAGATTATAGCTATCTAAGATTAATAAATACCTCTTCTTTAATACCTATAGCATGCTCCTTATTCTATATATAAATAATATAGAGATTACTGGACCTTCTAAGTAGATTACTAAGGGGGTGTGTGAGGCTATTAGTAAGCTATTTAATATTTTACTTATTAGTCTAGCTAGCTATTATCTAGGTATAAAGATAGACCTAGATATTAAAAAGAGATAATATAAGCTCTTATAGTATACTTACCTTTAATAACTTATTAATATATTTAATCTATATTTAGTTAAAACTATAGCTACTCTTATAGAAGAGGGTGCTTAGCTAGTTAAATTAGATAAGCCTATTAGATATAATCTTAAACTTAAAGAGAGATATAGAGTAGGAGTTAGTTTAGTTATATATCTAATACTTTAGACTAGGCTAGATACTATATTTACTATTAGGAAGCTAGCTAGATATACTATAAATCTTAATAAATTATATTTTAAATATCTTATTCATCTTATATGCTATTTCTATTAGACCCTGGATATTAGAATTATCTACAAGCCTCATAACACTAGAGATGTCATAAGCTAACTAGGTGTTATTATTAGCTATATTAATATAGATTATATAGGTTATATTAATATACACTATTTAACTACTAGATATATCTTTATATTTAGTAATAAGCCTATCTTATAGACATCTAAGCTATAATTAGTTATCTCTTTATTAACATGTAAGGCAGAATATATTACTATTATTTATACTATAAAGGAAGCTATCTAGCTAACCTATCTTCTTAAAGATATTAGCTTTGATGGTGTTTACCCTATACTATTAAATACTAATAGCTAGCCTACTATAGACCTAGCTTATAATACTTAATTCCATGCACGCAGCAAGCATATTAATATTAATTATTACTAGATTAGGGATGTAATAGTTAAGAAGCAGGTCTTTCTATAGTATCTCTTAATAAATAAGATAATTACAGACCTCTTGATAAAGCTACTTAGTTATCTAAAGTTTAATTAATTCTTTAAGGCGCTAGGTTTAGCCTAGCAGAGCACTATAAATAGCAGATTACTAGCTTAATACTATAATTATAGATTAACTGCCTAATTAGGAAGTGGCTACAACCTTGTTAATTAAATCTAGGGGTGTATGGCTATACTTGGTATGGCAGAGATCTAATTATATAATCTTACTTAGTAGATAGCTCCTTCCACTATATGATAGTAAATATAGATTTTACACATATAACAAATTTAACAAATATCTTCATATCTTCCGCTCCCTATTGATTAATTTTACACAACCCAGCCAAGACTGATTTCTGCACCCTCGGTGCTGATATAGGGCCCCTCCTCTGCCTGTAGCGCCTGAAAATCCGCATCTGCTGCCCCCTTGTAGAACGTTTCCATGTCCCGGAACAAGAACTCGACTTGCGCGTCAAAGTCTCGAACCCGCCATGGGGTCCCGCGCGCGTTGTTGAGTTCTGATGTGAAGTCACGAAACGACTTGGGGGCGAAGAACTAGCGGAACGACTATTAATTTGCGACTCACGCGTGATCTCCTGCTCAACCGTGTACTCACGATAGAAAATCCCTCGATCCCATTCTTAGCATGTAGCTTGGCCGCCCGGGCGGCATGCTGTTCGGTCACCCATTGATAAAACTCGTCTTCACTGACGTTAGGCTGGCGATAGTGCGCCACCGTCATGCGCAGGAGGCGCTTCTTCTGGAGGGGTTCGGCCATTGGATGCAATTTAATAAATTTTTTGCACACGTAGATAGCAAGAAACTATGGTGTTTATCTCGGTTACGCGAGAGATTCTTAAGCACGACGGGGGGTAAGTTTACTATTGTTACTATTCGGCGGTCGTCTTTCTAATCCCAAGCATTACACCGAGCAGTGGGAATTTTCGGTGCCTCTTGCTTGTAGTTAGCAGTTCATGTGTGCACCGATCTTCCTCGGCCGCGCTATCGGTGGATGCTCGTGCTACAGAGCACTGAATATGGACTAAAGCACGGGAATTCGGGGCAGCGGTATCAATTGAACAGGGTATGCCTACGTTTGAAGGCTAATCGCCATATCCGTAGAGTAAAATGCAGTTGAAAAAGATTGATATGTACAGAGATAAACTCAAGATAGCCTTAAACATTCCTGATGTGTCTAACTAAACGATATCAATGCCCATTGGTAGCAGAATTGGCCAGTGCCGTCGACAGCAATAGACAGCTATGTCTCTCTGGTCCAGGAAGATCATACGCAGCCAGATCAACGCCAGAGAAGCCAGTCTGCTTGAGCAAATCATTCCACTGCTGAGGAGACTGTAAGGGACTCTCTGTTCTCCCCTCGTCAACGCCAGCCCACCACCCAGAAAGCGGACCAAACGCAAGGTTATAGAAAGGTGTTAACCTGGTGAGCTCTACCAGACCGAAGACACCGCCAGGCTTCAGTAGCTTGTGTACATTGCTCAACGTGTTCATTAGACGCGCCGTGGCATGGATAACGTTGGCAGCAATGATCAGGTCGTATGTGTGCTCTTCGAAGCCTTGGGTCGCAGGGTCATCCTCGATGTTGAGAACCTTGAATGTCAACTGGGGCTCCCATTTCTTCAGCGATGTCTTCGCAGCATTAAAGAAGCCCGGAGAGAGATCTGTGTACATGTATTTGGCACAGAATGTCTCTCCATTGGGGCTGCATAGGTTAAGGACTTCCGAAGTGGTGCCCCCTGTTCCAGCGCCAATCTCCAGAATTCTGATATCTATCCGCTGTGAGATGAGGATTCGGGCGTATTCGGCCATGTAGCGGTTGGCCCGCCTACCCTCGTCCGAGAGATACACGCAGAAGAGCAGATCGTCTCTCATAATATGCGCAAGGGCGTGGGTTTTGCCGGTCAGGATGTTCACGAGCTCTGGGCTCATTCTTGCAATCACTTCGCCTTCAATACCTAATTTGGAGACCAACCTTTCGAGTCCTTCATTGGTTAAAGGTGTCTCCTGGAGGATCCTTTGCCCCTCCTCGGAATCAACAAAGTCTTGCATTACTTTCCACCGGTGAACGCGATAATCCTGCTTCGGACCCAGTCCGCGCATTCTCATTTCCTTGACAGCCGTGTCTATGTAAACAACGGTAGCGGCATTGACGAGCTTGGATTTCTCCGACGGGGTCATGCCCACGTTGTCAGCTTCGAGAGGTATTTGAACAGACTCCAGCATCTCTGGTGTGACGTGGACCCCGCCAACCGTGCTGGGCTGTTTTGACACACCATTGGTAGCCTTCTGAGCACCGTCAAGAGGCGTAAAGCTCATGCTTGACCACCCAGTTTCCAGTTTCTTGATGAGCCAAGGCTCCAAGTTCACCATTCCACCAAAGTAGAACATGATTCTGGACGGCTTCCCGGGAATGTTGGTGCCGACGAACCAAGAGCCTTGCTCATGAGCATGTTTGGCGAGGAACGAACCAGCCCATACTTGCTCGACGTGCGTCGTCCACGCATTCATGACTTCATTCGACACGTCGATGCTGGCGAGCCCGTTATTTTCCATATGCTCGATGGTCTTGCCGATCCAGCTTGCGAATGCTTCCAGACTGACAGGCTGGTTCCCCGCGGGCAAATGAGGGCCACAGACGACGAACATGTTTGGATAACCATGGACCAAGACGCCAGCGAATGTTTCGAGTCTCTGCGTCCAAGACTCCCGCAGTGACTTGTTCTGGCTCCCCCTGATGTCGATCTTGTTCATTGCTCCTGTGCCTGTATCGAAGCCCAGTGCCAAGATGATCATGTCGAGCCCATGTTCCGCTCCGGAGGCAGTTTTGATACCCTTTTCGTAAACTTCGATCTCGTCTTTGCTGATATCCACTAGCTTGACGTTCGATCGATTGAATGTCTTATAGTATCCATCTGCACAGGGAGGACGTCTTGCACCAAAGGGGTAGGTTAGGCATAGAACCTCGGCGGTTCCAGGGTCGCGAACGATGGAGCGGATTTTCTCACGAATAAAGTCCGACGTGGCGGCATTAGCATCGGGATGCATGAAGGAATCATCGAATGTCCCGAGCTGGAAATCGTAACAACCGCGCGCCCAGCCATCTTCGAAGGCACGTTGAATCCCTTCTGGGTCGCCAACGCTCGCGACCGTTCTTCCCGAATGCTTCACCGCGTGGCCGGCCAGGTTTATTTTGGCAATATCCCAGGTCGCATCAAATGTCTTCTTGATATCTTCCCTTTTTTGCTCGTCAAGAGGATAGTTTTGCGCCGGGATCACATAATTTGGTGTCCATTGAAAAACAGTCAGCTGTTCAGCAACGGGGGCCAGCTTAGTGATGACTTGAATGCCTGTCGAACCAGTGCCGATCACACCGATTCGCTTGTTCTGAAAATCGATTTCGTGCTCTGGCCAGGTATAAGTTTGATATATCTCCCCTTTGAACGACTGAAGCCCAGGAAATGGCGCCTCCTTGGGAATGGACGTGATACCGGTGGCAGGAAGGAAGTATCGCGCGGTGGCCACACTCCCATCCGCCGTAGTGATCGTCCAGAGATTGTCATGATCGCTGTAGTGGGCTGATTTGACTTCTGTGTTGAACTTGATGTTCTTGCGGAGGTCGTACCGGTCAAGGACACGACTTAGATACCATTGGATCTCCTCCTGCGAGGGATAGCGCTCGGTAAAGTCCCATTCTTCCAACAGCTCGGGCAGGAATTTTAAAGCGTATACCCAAGCCTCGCCATCAGTACGACATCCAGGATAGCGGTTCCACCACCAGGTGCCCCCTACATCTGACCCGGCGTCGAAGCACCTTGCTGTCAAGCCCAGTCGTTGGAGCTCCCAGAGACATCGGACACCACTGAAGCCTGCGCCAATGACGATGGCATCATAGTCTGGACTTATTCTAGTCATGGTCAAGAAATGGACGCTTGTTGCAACACTGAAAGATGAATCCGAGGCGGGAGAAGCGGAGTATAGTGCGTTGCGATAGAACGCAAAATGGACTGGCGTCACTATTCATTGGCATGATTCGCACTCTCGGATTCAGCTTTGAAATTACATGTACAGCTTACTGTTCAGATGGATGGGTATCTCGGTGTCGCCTTCGCCGAACAGGAAGCTAATATTGTCTCCTCGATGCCACCTGTGTCAGCCATGGCCGAGCACATCGTATAACCTCAGGTCGGGGAAGCCGAATCGGGTCCCAATACGGAATTATCACCGAAGATGACAAGGCCACGCAGCATGAAAGTCTTATAGCAAGTGTTATCGCCAAACAGTGGGTCTCTCCGTCTCTATGGCAGGAGGATTATCTCGTTATCAAGAAGAATCCTCTCCCAAGACACTGGATGTCCTGCCTGGCGTGAAGAGTCATTGCATGATGAGTTCGCCCCCGACAGTCTCGGCGTAATGATTGTAGCACAATTAAGTATATGCTAGTATTAAAGTCGAATGGTCAAGAGTTGGGTCAGATTAGTTCAATCGCTATTAGAGATTCTGAGTTACAGCCCGCCACAGTCCTACAATGAGCTCTTTATTCGGCTCAAACAATGAAGTCTCCCAGCTGGGAACAGCCCTTCTCCACATCTCCCCACTGGTCATATCGTCCGCATCCTTGATGTTTAGCTGGTCACAGGACATCTCTCTTGGGGCTTTCTTACACCCGTTGAAAAAAAAACAACAACTTTGACGTAGAACAAATTTTTGAAATCTCTTACCTAAATTAATATCTTTTAACCCTAAAATTTACCTAATTTCTCATGACGACGACTGCTTTTAATTAATCCTAATTTTATAGGGTTTTAATTACTATATTATTATTAAAGCTAGGGTGGCTGCCCCTAATAGCCTCCTATAGTAGTAAAAAGGGGCTATAGAAAACTCTATATAACTATATCTTAGACCTTCACTATAATACAAGTATCTATTTAAACTATTTAAAGGTTTATAATTAAGGAATCCTAAAGCCTCTTATTAAGCTAATTACTAATATATATACTATTATTAAGGAGGTCCTGAAAAACCCCCTAGATAATAACTAGAGAAAGGTAGTTACTAACCTCTATAAGATTACTCTTAATATTAAGAAGAATACCACCTCTATCTAGTATATCTTAACTACTTAATCTATTCCTATATCTACTAAGATTTACTTATATATAATTACTACTATAGGGATACTACCCCTAGACTATATAGTCTTCTCCTATAATTTATTAAGTAGCCCTAGAGCCACCCTCTTAGAACTAAGTAAGGACTATAAGGTTATTATTAAGCTACTAGATATTAGTATAGTAAGTATATTCTACTATCTAAAGATAATAGAGATAAAGAATAGGGCTAAGAAGGCCTATATAAAGGTCTTAAAGGAGGCTATAGTAGCCACCCTTATATCTATTAAGTTTATAGCTATCTATTAGCTTAAGTTAGGTAACTTAAGCCTTAGCCTATAGACTACTTAATAGATAGAGATTATATACTACTACCCTAGCTAGACTAAATTATTCTATTAGGGAGCTATTATCTGCCTACTAACTTAGGGTATAGTAGTTTATAATATCTAGGTTAAATTAATTAATAATCTAGTAGACCCTAAGGAGGCTAAGTAAGTTACTAACTAGTTATTAGCTAAGAATTATTTCTCCTAGGGAGAGACTAAAATTATCTATATTACCTAGCTTATAAATTAGCCTACTAATAAGAAGTCTTCTACCCTAATAATTAAGTTTTTAACCCCCTAAGCCACTAATAAAGCTA